CCAGACTGCATAGTAAATTGTGATTGCTTTGTAGTTGAATAAAAATATGAATGAAATATGAAGATGTTTGTGTTAGGAAAAATAAATCTAAATCTGTCTATAATGAGCATCAAATATGGAATATAAACCCAGATAAGCATGGCTGACTGCTCGCAGGATAGTGGTTAAAGGCACTGTATATGTAATTTCAAATGAACATCCATACAAAGAAAGCAATTTCCGATTCACAACGGTACCCTTGAAACCTTTATCCGATCAAAAAGTGGAAGATATGATCGTTTTTCTAGGTTTAAAAGGAAAGTTCTGATAATTCTTGTATGCTTTCCTGTAGTATTGAAATGCAAAAGTCACTTTTGTATAGATAAACTACACTTTAAATAATCAGATTTTTAAAACTATAATCATTGATTTTTAATTAATAATTGATCAGAGGTAGTTTTTATGGATACCGTTGTGAATCGGGTATTGTCATCTTTTTTGCTTTAAGGAGCACTTAAAATTAAGCTTACCGTCCCTTTAGGCAGGAGCACTTTAGGAGAAAGAAGAATTCAAAAGGCGCAGTAATTACCATGGTCAAGACATTTGATAATTCCGAACACCTCAGCAAGGTTAATTCCGACTCAGATGTAGATCTGGAGATCCAGGAGAAGTTTATAGTGATAGCTACAGGGTGTCCCACGAAACATAAACGTTTTAAAAAGAATGTCTTCTTTCATAATTTGTTAAGTTGTTTAATACCAAAGACAATATTAAAATATTATTTAGGAGTCATATTATAGTAAAATTAACTTCAAAGTAAAATATATTTGAGCAAAAGATTTTTTAAACGAAATAAACTGCAAACAGCCTTTAATATCTAATACAGTGTATGGAAGACGACATTTAACACTATTTACAAACTGTTATGTTTCGTGGGACACCCTGTAGGTTAACCGTTCTCGTTATGCATTCTGTAAATAAATATACCCCTGGTCGGTGGTCCACACACAAATTTAACTATAAGGGGATCATTTATTAGACATACTGTCCAGTTTTCCTTATATAGTCTGTATTTGAACTGGACAACTTGATCCAGGTGATTAAAGTCGGCCCGGTACACGAAACAAACTGGCGAAAAGGAATTTGGATGGTGGATAAATATTTGGATTTTACGTACTGTACTGATCTGCAGTACACAGTTTCAAACAGAAGATACAACACAATAAACTATAAGTATACATTTTACATGTTTTTTTGGTGTCCAAAAAACATGGGAATTCAGTGACGAATTAGATATCGTCTTTGTTATGAATTAGCATTGTAATACCTAATTTCAAAAGCTATAATATTATTATGTCTGCCAGAGTTAATTTTATGAAAAGGGTAAAAGACTGTAAAAATGTGTTTATAATGTCTTCGCAAGATGAACAGTGAATATGGACAAGTTTACTCTGTTTGTATACTGCAATATTCTTGTTTTACTAAGTTACCGTATGCAGCCAAAATTCATAAACAAACAAAATGTGAACATAGCAGACGAAACTCTTACAGACTACAGCTTTCTCAGTATGGTATTACTAAACTAAATCAAAGAATTATTTAAAAAGACGATATCGACTTCGTCAATTAATTCCCAGGTTTATTGGGACACCCTGTACAATCGTCCATTTCAAATGTTACAAAATTCAGAGCTATAATAAAGAACATAAATGTCGTTTTGCAACTCCTCCTCATGGAAAAATTAAAATATTTATCATATAAAACCTCAGAATATATATATATATATTCAGAGCTATCACAAAGAACATAAATGTCGTCTTGCTACTCCTCCATCATGGAAAAATTGAAATATTTATCATATAAAACCTCAGAATATATATATATATATATATATTCAGAGCTATCACAAATAACATAAATGTCGTCTTGCAACTCCTCCATCATGGAAAAATTAAAATATTTATCATAAAAAACCTCAGAATATATATATATATATTCTGAGTATAAAACATTTAAAACAAAACCGAAATAATGTTTTTCCAAGGTGGATTTTTGTAAAGTATAGAGTGACTTAATGCCATGATGCTTAACATTAAAAACAGATAAACTTTGATCTTTGCCGGGTAAATTTATTCTTAAGGCCACTGTCTTCGGTTATTTTTAACTTCAACATGTACGAACACCCCAAAAATTTATATATCATTTGATATGAAAAAGGTTTTCACTCTTTTTGAAACGTAATTACATTTGTTGTTGACAAAGAGTAAACGCACAGGGTTACCCCCACAAAGGATGAGACTTCAGAGACAACTTTATGATGATATTTATGATATTTATGGATTCCCTGCAACTCTGAGCTTAATTTATTATATGATATTTATGATATTTATGGATTCCCTGCAACTCTAAGCTTAATTTATTATATGATATTTATTTGAAAAAGCTCGGAATTATTAAATATTAATAACTTTATGATATTCACGGATTCCCTGCAACTCTAAGCTTAATTTATTATATGATATTTATGATATTTATGGATTCCCTGCAACTCTAAGCTTATTTTTTCTTTGCCAAATCATTAAAAAACCATTTCAAGACTTTATATTTTTGATAAAAATTTTCATTATTTGATAATCTATTCAAAATAGTAATTTCTGTTTGTTTGGATGCTCGATCATAACTCATGAACCACTCACTGTAAATTCCGGTTCATTTCAAGTACCGGGCCGACTAGTAAAATATTTGTGCATTGGATCGATTTGCCTCATATTTTGATTGGAGAATGCAGAAGAACCACGGCAATGTTTTAGCTAGGTTTAAAAGTTCTAAGTTGAGCCGTGTTCATAATTTGCTAGATAAATCTATCTAACTGTTTGTTTGTTTGTTTGTAACCGATAAACGGCTGAACCGATCAGGCACAATTTTTGTGTGGGACCTCACATGACGTACCGTACGAGGGAAGGAATTTATGGATGCTCAGAATTACCAAAAAAATGTTTGTAAAATTTTGAAAATCCACGAAACGAAATAAATTGTAAATCCGTCAAATTTTTTATTATGTGTTTTATCTAAGAGCTTGAAGCGCCCTGATAGCCTAGTATATATATATATTTATAGGCAGAAGCCCAAAGGAGTAACGCGCATGCTGCATTGAATTAAAAGATATAGATTGAGTCTGCTCTAGCCGCAGCGCTCGGCCCAGAAAGTGTCTTAACCTAACCCTAAAATATATTCTAATCTCTCTCTTTCTTGTAATTCAAGGTGGCAAGCGCGCATAACTCCTTTAGGCAACTACCATATTTACATATATCAAGCTACCGAAATTACGAAAGTTTTGTTCTTAATAATAAATTGATTGATTGATTGATTATGGTTTATTTCTTTATGCCTTATTACTGGCACCTTAAATGTTGACATACAAGCTATAAAATTACTAACATATTTAATACAATATTACTATCTTAATAATAAAAAAGAATGTTCAGGTTATCTAACAATCGTTTATATCCCAAACATTCTTTTCGTAATTTCCAGTATAGTTCGATGTGTTACGATTATAATATTAGGGTTTTCTATTTCAAACATTTTACATCACATATATATCTATAATTCTTTTTTAAAAACATTAAAGTTTGATGTCAGTTAGTCCGGATATACGTCTATATCTTCATGTTTTTAAAAATCAACAAAAAAAAGTTTTTTTTATTTAGTGATTAGAATAGAAGTTGTTGCCGCCGCGCTGGGTAGATATATTCAAAATATAATTTGAAGCACTTAGAATTGAATATGCATTAGTAAATATCTTGTTTTAAAATGATAATTTTATATTGAAATATGATAGAAAGTGATGTTTTTCTCCAATTATATTTTTATCCAGAAGTCCTTTGTGACCTACTTTCGATGGTATACTCTGACGAGTTTTATTAAAACAAAAACCCTCCTATTTTTGCTCAACTATCACAGTTGTTTCAGATAAGGTTTAAGTGTAAAATATGTATAAATCAAATTGTTTACCGGCTATTCGTTCATCATTTAAATGCTTTTTTATGGAGGTAAACTTTCTTATAATTTGAAAATATATGTTTTATATAAGTATAAACAGGTATATATAAAATGACTCTCTGTTCTGAACTACTGTGGCAGCATTGTCAGTTTTTGCTGCTTTCTCCAAAGTTTTTGCCCATCTTAAAGACGGTTTTTATTTTGGTTTTTATATAGAGAGAACTAGGTCAAATGGGAAGCACTCCCCCCCTCCCACACCAGATTCGACTATATATTCCCCCTCTCTTGGAGGGTTGGGGGAAATATAAGGATCGATATTATAAAAATAGAGATTCACGGTTTTAAATTCAATTTTTTATGCCATACATAACAAAAAGATCAAGATTTACGTATTTTGGAATACATTCATTGTTAACTTTAAACATTTGTTTTTGTTTGTTTTGGCGGGAATTGAGTCCGTAATCCACCGGTCTCTAAGAAAGCGGCCGGTGTATTACTACTAAGGGGAAGTTCCCCTCAGCGCGTCAGTTAAAGTACATCTGTGGATTGGAGCAGAAGAAAGTGAAAGTTGTTATGAAGCTGTTTAACGAACAGTTTCTCTTTCATTATCATTTGTAAACAAACAAATCAACAATGGTGGTTTTATTGTTTCAGAAAAAAAGATCTCCTTCCTTATCCCATCCCTCTCAGTCTTTTAATTCCGAAATGTATATTTANGGGGGGGGGTCAAAGCAAGCCAGTGGGTCACTAGAACGAAATCTAAATCAATTCTAATATTTAAGTTCCATCAAACAAATATTTTTTTATTTTAAATTTTTTAGCCCTAATTATGTACATATAATTTTATATTAATAATTGATGCTTACAGCTAGAAACAAAGTTTGGTATAAACGACGCGACGACGCCTCAATTAAGACTTGTACTAAGAAATCAATAAGTAGTTGATACCACGTATTGTCAAAAATAAATACGTAAAACATTTTGACATTATGTTTGTTAATTCAATTTGTTTCAGAACCTAGATATTACATTTACCTGATGGATTCATTCAAATAATTTGTTCTTTAACATTCTAAAATGTCGTCTTATCACAAACCCCGGATATTTAGATCTTCTTCCGGCTGCTGTATTTGTAAAGCAAAATCTAGCAGGTACATGATGCCTGGTTTTTCTTTCTTTCATTCTCTCATAATACATAATATCTTGTTATCAACATATCTGTTTGTCAGAATGTCTGTTTTTGGTAAAATATCTGTTTCTCTTAATATCTGTTTGTTAGAATATTAGTTTTTCAAAATACCTGTCCGTTAGAATATCTTCCGTCAGAATATATGTGTGTCGGAATATCATGTCCGTCAGAATATCTATTTTTTTCAGAATATTTGTCCGTCAGAATATCTATTTTTCAGAATATTTGTCCGTCGGAATATCTGTCTCTCAGAATATCTGTTTTTTTGAATATCTGTTTGTCTGAATATCTGTTTGTCCGAATATCTGTTTGTCCAAACATCTGTTTTTCCGAATATCTCTTTGTCCGAATATATGTTTGTCCGAATACCTCTTTGTCCGAATATCTCTTTGTCCGAATATCTGTTTGTCCGAATATCTGTTTGGCCGAATATCTGTTCGTCCGAATATCTCTTTGTCCGAATATCTGTTTGCCCGAATATTACTTTGTCCGAATATCTCTTTGTCCGAATATCTCTTTGACCGAATATCTCTTTGTCTGAATATCTCTTTGTCCGAATATCTCTTTGACCGAATATCTCTTTGTCTAAATATCTCTTTGTCCGAATATCTCTTTGTCCTAATATCTCTTTGACCGAATATCTCTTTGTCCGAATATCTCTTTGTCCGAATATTTCTTTGTCTGAATATCTCTTTGACCGAATATCTGTTTGCCCGAATATTACTTTGTCCGAATATCTCTTTGTCCGAATATCTCTTTGTCCGAATATCTCTTTGACCGAATATCTCTTTGTCTGAATATATCTTTGTCCGAATATCTCTTTGTCTGAATATCTCTTTGTCCGAATATCTCTTTGTCCGAATATCTCTTTGTCCGAACATCTCTTTGACCGAATATCTCTTTGTCTGAATATCTCTTTGACCGAATATCTGTTTGTCCGAATATCACTTTGTCCGAATATCTCTTAGTCCGAATATCTGTCTGTCAAAATATCTGTTTGTCCGAATATTTGTCTGTTAATCTCCGAGTGCTTCCAAATGACAGTCTTTCATATATACAAAGAGAAATAAAGCATAAAATCTGAGATCTGACAATTTTTTCTTATTTTTCAAAAATATTTCTGATTCATTATTTGGTTGAAGTTGGTCGGTCTTGCTATTTACGTGTCTGATGTCAGTTTTTCTTTCTTCTTTTATTGGTAAAGTTTGATTGATGAATTTACGTTTTTGCACCTGTGTTATATTCTTATTATCTGTTTTCATATTTTTCTCAAAAATAATATAGCATTAGCTATGTAAAAAGTAGTTTATTATTTAGTTACAAAATTAAACTATTCAAATAGTTCCCTGAACAAAATTACTGTTCAGCACAATATTTGGTAAATTAACAAACATTGCAAGGGTTTACTGTTGTGAGAATCTCTAGATATATATATAATCCATATATTGATTAATATAGTTTATCATTATTATAATTGTTATTATTATTATTATTATTTCAGTTCTCGGTTTACAGACAGTGGAAAATATAGCAATAGTTTTTCAATTTGTTTTCTTCTAACGGAATCTAGGTAATTATAGTTAATATAATTAACAGTTAATTAATAATTAATTATTAATCAATTAACTAACCATTGACTAGCAACCAATTTTTCAATCACGCATTTAAACATCAAATTTATGTCAAGTTGCATCTTTTAATTACTAATTTAAGAATTAGAAAGGTAAATTACTCTTTTGTTTGTTAAAAAAAAAGTCAAAATATCCATGAATTATATAATTTTTGATGCTCAGGGGGAAAAATAAAAATTTGACATCAAATTTGAAATTAAAATATCTTTATTCTTTATTACCCAAAACTTCATTTATTTCCCCCAATTTTCAAAAGAAAGGTTGAAACTACTTTTTAATATAATATATACCCCTGTTATTTAGGTCAGGGGACATATGTAACGCCTGTGTTCTACTGGTGAAAAGATGGAGAAAACTTCCTAAGCATAATATTAAACATTGGGCTCATGTTGTAGACTCCAGGTATACATAAACATAATATCAAACATTTGGCTCATGTTGTAGACTCCAGGTATACATAAACAAAATATCAAACATTGGGCTCATGTTGTAGACTCCAGGTATACATAAACATAATATCAAACATTGGGCTCATGTTGTAGACTCCAGGTATACATAAACATAATATCAAACATGGGGCTCATGTTGTAGACTCCAGGTATACATAAACATAATATCAAACATTGGGCTCATGTTGTAGACTCCAGTGGTAAACCTAAATACACTAGCTCAGTGAACCTAAATTTTGGCAATTACTTTTTTATATTAAAGCTATAAACAACCGCGTCGTAGATCTAAATATAAATGTTTATAGCAACACAAAAGTAAAGAAGTTAACCGTAGGTGAAACTAAATGCCTTTAAAAAAGATAATTTTTATAAACCTTTCAAAATTTTACGCTATAAATATACTTTTCTCAGATTTTATAAAATGTTTGTTCTAGCATCAGATTTTTGGCAAAAATCAACCGAACCATCGTTTGTTAACTCAGCGATGGTTTAATTCGTTTTTTACGTGGGTAAAAGTTGTTCATAGTGAACTCAACAAAAATTAGATCAACTCTGAAAGGAATTGAGTTTTTGCCACAAACTCTGATTTTCTAATTTCAATATTGTTGCAACCCAATGTCGTAGACCTTTAATATTTCAAACTATGAACGCTAGGATCAAATAATGTAAGCTTGAAATATCAAAGCTTTACATCATAAGATTACAAAGATATAGGTTTTACAAAAACTGAATTTGTGGCAAAGACTCAATTCCTTTTCCGAATTTCTCAGATTAGTTTGTGAGGCTAAAAGACATTGGTTGGTTGCATAAGTTAAAAAGGATATTATGGTAAAATGAGGCTGGAAGAAAATAAAGATTGAAAAAGTGATTTAACTCAATTTAAAATTTTAAAACCAAGCTAAGAACATTCCTGTGGTAATGCCGAGTTTCCCAACTGAAATTAGGGAAAAAGCGACTTATGTTCGGACATACATGACACAAACAAACAAACAGAATTAGTACTTTATATATATATATTATATTATATTAGAGCTGGTCCTGGAACTAAGTCTTTAATAAGAAAGAAGAAGCCTAAGAAGGAAGATGAGATGATAACACCAACCCCACCTGGCGGAGGAAGAGGATGGAAGGAGATGAAGATGGAACGAAGACGACTGGGTAGAAAGATTCTTCTAGAAAGAGGGTCGAGGAAGAGAAAACAAATGAATCCAACAAGATCGTCTCCAGGTAAATATATCTAGCTCTTTTTACGGTCTATTCCAGATAAATATATCTAGCTTATGTTACGGTCTATTCCAGATAAATATATCTAGTCCTTTAAGCAGTCTTCTCCCCTATAAATATGTCTAGTCCTTTTAACGGTCTTTTCCAGATAAATATATCTAGTCCTTTTAACGGTCTTTCTAGCTCTTTTAACGGTCTATTCCAGATAAATATATCTAGTCCTTTTTACGGTCTATTCAAGATAAATATATCTAGTCCTTTTTACGGTCTATTCCAGATAAATATATCTAGTCCTTTTTACGGTCTATTCCAGATAAATATATCTAGCTCTTTTTTCGGTCTTCTCCAGACAAATATATCTAGTCCTTTTTACGGTCTATTCCAGATAAATATATCTAGCTCTTTTAACGGTCTATTCCAGATAAATATATCTAGTCCTTTTTACGGTCTATTCCAGATAAATATATCTAGTCCTTTTTACGGTCTTCTCCAGATAAATATATCTAGTCCTCCAGATAAATAGGTCTAACCTTTTCTACGTTCTTATCCAGATAAATAGGTTAAGTCCTTTCTACGTTCTTCTCCAGATAAATAGGTTAAGTCCTCTCTACGTTATTCTCCAGATAAATAGGTTAAGCCCTTTCTACGCTCTTATCCAGATAAATAGATTAAGCCCTTTCTACGTTCTTCTCCAGATACATATGTTAAGCCCTTTCTACGTTCTTCTCCAGATAAATAGGTTAAGCCCTTTCTCCATTCTTCTCCAGATAAATAGGTTAAGCCCTTTCTCCGTTCTTCTCAAGATAAATAGGTTAAGCCCTGTCTACGTTCTTCTTCAGATAAATAGGTTCAGCCCTTTCTACGCTTTTCTCAAGATAAATAGGTTAAGCCCTTTCTACGTTCTTATCCAGATAAATAGGTTAAGCCCTTTCTACGTTCTTCTCAAGATAAATAGGTTAAGCACTTTCTACGTTTTTCTCCAGATAAATAGGTTAAGCCCTTTCTACGTTCTTATCCAGATAAATAGGTTAAGCCCTTTCTACGTTCTTCTCAAGATAAATAGGTTAAGCCCTTTCTACGTTCTTCACCAGATTAATAGGTTAAGCCCTTTCTACGTTCTTCTCCACATAAATAGGTTAAGCCCGTTCTACGTTTTTCTCCAGATAAATAGGTTAAGCCCTTTCTGTGTTCTTCTCCTGATAAATAGAATAGCCCTTTCTACCTTCTTTTCCAGTTTAATAATCTAGCCCTTTCTACGTTCCTATCCATCTAACAAGATTTAGCCCTATACGTTCTTCTTTAGTGTAGAGTGGTGTCCAAATTCTATGAATTTAAATCTGTATAGAAAACGATCCAGTTGACCCATTTATGATATTTAAAAAAAAGAGAAATTAAGTAGGATTATGTCGACAAATGGATAGATAGATAGATGTAGGACGGATTTAAAGTATAAATAGATTGATATAATTCCTTTCTATAACTTTGTTACAAATATCCTTGGAGGATACCTTTGTTTCCTTTGTTGCACTGGCCTAGATATTCTTTATATAAATATATATATATACTTAATAAGATACTTAATACTTACAGAGACTTTATAAAAACAAGAAATTAATGTTTTAGCTTAAAAGCCAGTGATGTGTTAACAAATTTAAAAATATGGTTTTTTCTTGTGTTTTTTATTTGATATAGGATGATTATAAATAATTAATTATAGAGATTTTAGAATATAAATGAAAATTGATATGTATAAACTGCACATAAATATAAATGAAAATAGATATGTATAAACTGCACATAAATATAAATGAAAATTGATATGTATAAACTGTACATAAATATAAATGAAAATAGATATGTTTAAACTGTACATTAATAAAATGAAAATAGATAAGTATAAAATGAACTTAAATATAATATAGATAAAAGTGCAAAACTAGTAAGAAGACAAATTTTTTAAAAAAATGCTAAAATAGATAGAAAAATGTATAAATAGATATATAAATGAAAAAATTATAAAAAGAAAGGAGTAAAGATAGTTAGATAGATAGAAAGAACGAAAAAAAGAAAGATGGAAAAGAGTATATATAGATAGATAGATAAAAAATGGAAAAAGAAGTTTTTAGAAAATGATGAAAAGATTCAGGTTAATGATGATTCAAGCCGTCAGAAATTATATTATCACGTATTGGATTACATTAGTGTTAAGTACACTATGCGTCTACTTAAATATTAAAGACTTTCAATAATATGGGGGTCGAGGGTTTATAATTCTTTATTATGTTCTACTTAAATTTATTTTTAGAACTTTTTGTGAAACGAGAGAAGAAATATAGTTTTATAGATCTAAAGTTTTGGAACAGGTAAATATTCATTTATGTTCGAGTTTTTTGGTTTTAGAAAAAAATCCATAGCTTGTAATAATAGTTTTTGTGAAAAAACTGAATACTTTGCCTAATACTCTAATTCTCTGAAAAAAATTTGGACTTTTCTAGATTTTAAAAGTCTAAGATAATAAATTCTATGATGGATATTTTTATATTTTTCAAAGTTAAAGACTTAAAATTTCTCAGCTATAAATTATCATTTAAAAAAAATTTGTTTGTTAAAATGTTTCTAATATAAACGTGCATTTTCGAAATAACTGTAAGAAAAGTTTGTTTACTTTTAAAAACTGGTTTTTATAATATAAACTTCATGGAAAACTGGTTTTTATAATATAAATTTTATGGAAAACTGGTTATTATGATATAAACTTCATGGAAAACTGGTTATTATAATATAAACTTCATGGAAAACTAGCTAGTTATTATAATATAAACTTCATGGAAAACTAGCTAGTTAATATAATATAAACTTCATGGAAAACTGGTTATTATGATATAAACTTTATAGAACACCAGTTATTATAATATAAACTTCATGGAAAACTAGTTATTATAATATAAACTTCATGGAAAACTAGTTATTATAATATAAACTTCATGGAAAACTGGTTATTATAATGTGAACTTAATGGAAAACTGGTTATTATGATATAAACTTCATGGAAAAGTGGTTATTATGATATAAACTTCATGGAAAACTAGTTATTATAATATAAACTTCATATAAAACTGGTTATTATAATGTAAACTTCATGGAAAACTGGTTTTTATAATATGAACTTCATGGAAAACTGGTTTTTATGATATAAACTTCATGGAAAACTGGTTATTATAATATGAACTTCATGGAAAACTGGTTATTCTAATATAAACTTCATGGATAACTGGTTATTATAATATAAACTTCATGCATAACTGGTTTATATAATATAAACTTCATGGAAAACTGGTTATTATAAAATAATCTTTAAGGAAAACTGGTTATTATAATATGAACTTCATGGAAAACTGGTTATTAGAATATAAACTTCATGAAAATATTATAAAATAAATTATAAACTCTTGTTTTTTTAAGTTTAGCATAAAATAATAATGTGCATATTTATGAGGACCAAGATCTGCTGTGGAAGTATCTACAAGGGGTTCTCAAATGAGATATTAGTAAACTCCAGCTCCTATCAACCCTGCAGGCATAATACAGACTCTAGACTATACCAGGAGAAGAAACCTGTTCCAACTCTGAGCCCGGAGAAGAAGCATGTCTCCGACCTGTCGCCAGAAAAGAATTATATCTCCGATCTGAACCTACAGATTCCAACATCAGGACGGATTTCATCCGCTCTTTTAAATATAGAAAAGATAATTGAAGACGAGCTTAGAGCCTTTCGGAGTACTGACACTACCTTTGGTAACAATAGATCGACCTTTCGCAGCGCTGACACAACCTTTGGGACAGCTGACACCATGGAAGATGTGGAGACGAAAAGTCTTATAAGTTCAGATCTTGATGAAGGATTCTTTGATCGTAATTCTGCAACTCCAGACAGCAGTTCATCAGATACGCTACCAGGGAACTCAGAGTACACTTTATACTACAGGAAACCTAAATTGCAGTTTCCAGTACAGGAAACCTAAAGTACAGTTTTCCGTATAGGAAACCTAAAGTAAAGTTTCCAGTACAGGAAACCTAAAGCACAGTTTCCAGTACAGGAAACATAGAGCAGATGTTTAAGTATAGGAAACCTAGAGTGCGCTTTCCTTTACATGAAACATTTAGTATATTTTCCAGTACAGGAAACCCAGAGTACAGTTTCCAGTACAGGAAACCCAGAATACAGTTTCCAGTGCAGTAAATCTAGAGTACATTTTCCAGTACAGGAAACCTAAAGTACAGTTTCCAGTACAGGAAACCTAAAGTACAGTTTTAAGTACAGCAAATCTAGAGTACATTTTCCAGTACAGGAAACCTAGACTATTGTTTTGAGTACAAGAAGTCTAGAGTACATTTTCCAGTACAGGAAACCTAGAGTACAGTTTTAAGTACAGGAAGTCTAGAGTGCATTTTCCAGTACAAAAACTGATCCAGGTAAAATGTATTTTAGTGCTTTGAAATATTCATGTTTTTAATTTTTTTTTGATTTTTGACGTGTCTTTCTTATTTCTAGGGATTGCCAAGGTAGTTTTTAAGTCATTTCATTTTTAGGGCGCCATTAAAAATTAAAGGGAAGGGAACCCTTTTAAACTTAAGATCTAAAATTCAAACAATTTTGGGAAATATTTTTTTCAACTTTCAAGCACGATTTTAAAATGATTTGAATCTTTATTAAGCTCTGTTGGAAAATGTTTTTGGAGGTGTTTTTTCTTCTAAATTTCCGATTAGCTTGCACATGAATACATACATACATAATAACATATACATGCTGAATTTCAATTTTATTAATGAAAAAATTAAATCAAATAGTTTCCTAGAGGAGAAAGTGTTAAATTGTCTAAAATTACCTTGACGCTCCCTTTAACTACTTAAATAATTGAAAAGTATTTGATCATTATTCGGAAATCCAACGTTTGTAAGTTTTCTACGTTTTTACCTTTAAATGTTTATAAACTATTTAGTAATCTATTTAGTCATTTTGAATTAACGTCTTGTGATACTATTTAACCAATTCTAGTTAATATTGAGAAAATAAGAATAAAATAAAATAAATGAACTGTGGATCATAAAACAGGATTAAAGATAAAATTCTCCAGATTTCAACCTAAATATTTTTGTTGAATCAAATTGAAAAATTTGAAAAAACTAAACTTGTCGTGGTCCTCCTAGCACAGCAAAAAAGGCAATACACCCAGTTTGGCAATAAAGAATATTGCTCATTTTCTTCTTTAAAAATCTAGTACTAAAAAAGTAATTAAACCAATTACACATAGTTCAACTACTTCTCTTTCTGGATAGATCCTGGAACAATATGCACAACCTTAGTATTATAAGTATTATGTACTGTAACTGTACATGCATGTATGAACTGCTGCTCAGTGTACATGCATGTACAGCTGTGTATGTACATACCTAGCTACCTGTTAATATGCTCAGTGTACTACATGTTTCCTAAACCTAATTGTATTTCCAGGGTTTTCACATGTACACATGTACACAGTACAAACAACATAATTATTCCCCGTAAAATATAAACAGGGGGAAAGAAACCTATTTTACAATTTGTAAATTCAAAAATTTGTATTTTGTCCCATTTAGCTGGTAATTAGGGGAACACATATTCTAATCTAAATATTATAGAAGTAGAGTTATATAATCATATTTTATCCAGCTTAGTAATATTGTAATCTTGTAATCACTTGCTTTTGATTGTACTATTATACCAATAATTGTAATATTGTAATGTTAAAAAATTGTGAAATTGTACAATCTAACTTTAATTGTACTATTGCACAACCTTACTAGGCTACTATCATACTTTTGTACTGTTTCAATATTCATAACCAGCTATAAAACTGTACTTTACTGTACTTTTGTACTATTGGTTTGCTTTGAAACTAAACTTGTGTACTTTAGTTAGAACTAGTTAAGGGAATTTTCTAACATTTTGCACTGTAAAAATGTACCAGAACATAACACTGCCAATCTTATTTTATAATTTCATAAAAATCAGCAACAAGTAGGAATCTACGAAAGATGTAGAATTGAAATTTTATCATACGCTTCCGTCAAGAACTATAAACATATAGAAAAATTGTGGAAAAGTTTCTACCCATTTCTTTCCCGGTGTTCTCTCAGAATTCGAAACAATTTGAAAAACTGAAATTTTTATTTTTGTTGATGACTGTTTAATCTTGTTGTGAATGTTTAGAATTTCAGTGCATTTCTAGCATTTTATATAAATTTTGTTATTAAAGTATTAAACCAATTTAAAATATTAATTTCAGCGAAAGTGTTCCCGTCAAAGAAAAGGCACACCAGGGTGGTGTCTTAAAAAACTCAAGCTTTAAAGACTGAAACTTTTTGTCGGAGTATCAAAGTTTTTACACAAAACACAATTAAAAATTTGACAGTAAATTTTCTACTTTTTCTAAAATAACTTTTTTATTTTTTCTAGAATAAACTAAAATTCCGAAAAAAAAACACTTGTACACTGAACCATATTTGATTGAACCAAGGCATGAATGAAAACCTTCAATGCTTGTTATTATTTCACCTGCAAAACAGTTAAAATAAACTTATTTCAGCCCCTTTTTATACATTTATTTCTTATTTTTGTATATTAGTATTTAATTATATTGTCAGTTTAATAATCCTTAAATATTTATATTTGTTGTATCTGTACCCCCTCCCCCCATATTTAATCAAACTGTTTGTCTTGTTTAATCTTAAAATAATAAAGGAATTATATCAATTGTATATTTGTTTACTTGCATTCGGATAAGAATTTAATTATTCATTACTGTAGCTGTTGTGGTACTCGGCTTTGCCCAGGGGAAAATGATCCTCAATTTAAAAAGCACCATGCTTAATTCACAATGGTACCCTTGAAATCTTTATATTAGATATCAGGGGTGCATATTAGATGTCAGGGGTGCATATTAGATATCAGGGGTGCATATTAGATATCAGGGGGTGCATGTTAGATATCAGGGGTGCATATTATATATCAGGGGTGCATATTAGATATCAGGGGGTGCATATTAGATATCAGGGGGCATATTAGATATCAGGGGTGCATATTAGAGATATCAGGGGTGCATATTAGATATCAGGGGGTGCATATTAGATATCAGGGGCGTGCATATTAGATATCAGGGGGTGCATATTAGATATCAGGGGTGCATATTAGATATCAGGGGTGCATATTAGATATCAGGGGTGCATATTAGATATTAGGGGGTGCATATTAGATTTCAGGGGTGCATATTAGATATCAGGGGTGCATATTAGATATCAGGGGATGCATATTTCTTGAAAATCTTTCCCCCTTTCAAAATCAATTTCTCCCTCCATAAATTAAATATAATTGTGGAGCGGCAAAACAAATTCGTAAGGTTTTATTGGCTGAATTTTTAAGTATTAATTGTATCAAAAAGGAAAAAAAACGTGACTTTTAATGTCCATCAAAAAGCAATTTTTTCCTTGAGAAGTTATGTGTGTTTGTGCAGAGTTCCAAAAAATGATTAGGGTCTTAATTGCTGACTTTTTAGGTATAAAGAATTAAGAAGGCTGAAAAACTTGCCTTTCATGTTCAAGTTTTTTGTTTTCCGTGCTCTTTCTTTTCAATATTGTGTGCTCTTTTCATTATTACTTGCTCTTTTTTTCCTTATTCTGTGCCCTTTCTTATTATTCTGTGCTCTTTTTTCCTTATTCTGTGCCCTTTCTTATTATTCTGTGCTCTTTCTTTTCCTTATTCTGTGCCCTTTTTTACTTTTCTGTGCTCTTTTTTTCCTTATTCTGTGCCCTTTTTTATCATTCTGTGCCCTTTCTTATTATTCTGTGCTCTTTCTTTTCCTTATTCTCTGCCCTTTTTTTAATCTATACTATTTTTCTGGAAAATCATTTAAAAGTTGGTTCACAGTATTATTCGGAAAGTTCTTATCTCTTTTCTTTATTTAAACTTACTTTATTTCAAGAAAATGGTAAATTCAAACAAAAATGTTACTTATCAATTTTACACATAAATTTTTGATGTAAAATTAAACCAAGAAACTATTTTTAATTTTGGATCAGGTTTACAATAAAAAGAACAGAAACAAAAATTTAATTTCCCAATATTTCTAAATTTTATCGCAAACTAAACTTGAGATTGGAAAATGTTTTAACATAAAACATGAGCAGAAAAATATCGATACAATCCATTTACCTTCTTAATTTATAAACTTTTGAATGAACGAATTAAATTAAAATCTGAGGAAAAGGAAAAATAATTTCTCAAGAAAGTTTAAAAGGGTTAAAACAAGTAGATATGTCAGCTTTAATTCAACTTCGTCTCGACAATTCAAAAGTTTCTATATCATCAAGATATAAGACATTATATACAGGGATACTCACAAAGGATAAGACTTTAAACATCAAACATTGTCATATGGATTGAAGATAGTAAAATAAAAGTCTTAATCACTTTTAAAAGAGGGATACTAACGAATCACAAATATATTTTAAGTTGGTGTACGTATCTTTTTCATTTAGATCCGTAACTTAAGACATGTTTATATAATTTTCTGAAAAATAAAATGGGATTGAAATTGAAAAAGAACCAGTCAACCTGAAATTTAACTAATATTTCGTCCAGGTCTTCCTTCAAAATTCATAAACATTTCTTTTACACTGGAATATTTTTTCCCGTTTTGACTTGTTTAATATTTAGATAAACTACTGTCCGACTTCCCACGGTGGTACACTCGGTTCCCATTCTAGAAATACAGAGAGGTGTTAGTTTAGATTTAAGGATAGTTTTTTTTACGTAAGAAAGACTTTTAAAACATTTTTATAGTTTGAATAAGTAAACCCTAAGAAGTTCTGCCAAAGTTTAAGAATTACTTTTATATCATACAGATTCTTTTTAGAGATTTTAAAAACTCTTCACCTAATAGTATTATATGTGTCAGGATTTGATACATAGGTAGAAGTAGTTAAAAACTTGAACTTCGTAGCTTGTGCGTCGGTTCAAGCTATAGACGGTTTCAGGGGGGGGGCAGTCCATTAACCCCCCTCCCACTGAGTGAAATTTTGCACAAATTTTTTTACCCCCCTGAAACAGCCCTTGGATTTAACTACCCTAAAAGCAACGTAAGTACATCATTAAAAAATTTAGTAATTTTGATTTTGACGATTTTGATAAATTTTCCAGTTATCCATTTTTTAATATTTAATTAAAGATTAATGTCGATCAAAGATAATTTCAAAGTTTTAATTGATTTTAAAAAATCTTGATTCGATAGTTTTTATGTGTTTTTATATTATTGGCACTTAATCTTCTCTGTTTATTTTGTAACCATGGTTCCAATAACTCTTTGAATTCTTTATTACCTTGGTTCCAAGAACTCTCATATATCCTTTATTACCTTGGTTCCAATAACTCTTTGTATCCTTTATTGCCTTGGTTCCAATAACTCTTTGAATTCTTTATTACCTTGGTTACAAGAACTCTCATATATCCCTTATTACCTTGGTTCCAATAACTCTTTGTATTCTTTATTACCTTGGTTACAAGAACTCTTTGTATTCTTTTTTACCTTGGTTCCAAGAACTCTTAGTATTCTTTATTACCTTGGTTACAAGAACTCTCATATATCCTTTATTACCTTGGTTCCAAGAACTCGCTGTATCCTTTTATTACTTTGGTTCCAATAACTCTCTGTATCCTTTATTACCTTGGTTCCAAGAACTCTCTGTATCCTTTATTACCTTGGTTCCAAGAACTCTCTGTATTCTCTATTACCTTGGTTACAAGAACTCTCATATATCCTTTATTACCTTGGTTCCAATAACTCTTTGTATTCTTTATTACCTTGGTTACAAGAACTCTCTATATCCTTTATTACCTTGGTTCCAATAACTCTTTGTATTCTTTATTACCTTGGTTCCAAGAACTCTCTGTATTCTTTATTACCATGTTCCCAAGAACTCTCTGTATTCTTTATTACCATGTTCCCAAGAACTCTCTGTATCCTTTATTAGCTTAGTGACAAGAACTCTCTGTATCCTTTATTACCACGTGTTCCAAGAACTCTCTGTATTCTTTACTACCTTGGTTACAAGAACTTTATGTAACCATTATTACCTAGATTCTAAGAACTCTTTTTATTTTTTACTACCTTGATTCAAGGACTTTTCTGTATCCCTTTTTACCTTAGTTCCAAGAACTCTTTCTAAAAGAGAGGTTTTATTTTTTCTTCTTACAGCGGATATCTCACGGCATAATTCATAAAAGGATTCAGCAATCTAAACAGTTTAAACAACAAATTAGATTTATCCATTAGAGCAATAATTCTTCTTATCTTACCTCATTAACCTGATCCGCAGCTGCAACTTCCAGAAAATTACAATCAAAGTCTTTAGCCAATATTTCACCTAGAATTTAAAGTCTTTAGCCAATATTTCATCTGGAAATTAAAGTCTATAGCCAATATTTCACCTGGAATTTAAAGTCTATAGCCAATATTTCACCTAGAATTTAAAGTCTATAGCCAATATTTCATCTGGAAATTAAAGTCTTTAGCCAATATTTCACCTAGAAATCAAAGTCTTAGCCAATATTTCACCTAGAAATCAAAGTTTTCAGCTAATATTTCACATAGAAATCAAAGTCTTAGCCAATATTTCACCTAGAAAAGTCTTCAGCTAATATTTCACCTAGAAATCAAAGTCTTAGCCAATATTTCACCTAGAAATCAAAACCTTCCGCTAATATTTCACCTAGAAATCAAAGTCTTAGCCAATATTTCACCTGGAAATCAAAATCTTTAGCCAATATTTCATCTAGAAATCACAATAATTCAATTGCATATGATTAGATGGAATCTTTAAATTTGAAAATTGATAGTTTTCAAGAGTATTTTTCATAAATATGAAACCCTTTTTGTGAAAATTTTATGTATTGTAGGTTTATATTAACTAGATAGCTCCCTTTTAAATAATTGATTGATTTATTGATTGATTGCCTTATCTTTTTCTCTGATTGATTTATGAATTATTTTATCGATTCATTAATTGTATAACTAGTGATCGTATAATGTTACTGGAATGATTAATTGATTGTATAACTAGTGATTGTATAATGTTACTGAATGATTAATTGATTGTATAACTAGTGATCGTATAATGTTACTGGAATGATTAATTGATTGTATAACTAGTGATAGTATAATGTTGCTGGAATGATTAACTAAATAAAAAATGACTAGTTATTAGTTTAATGATTTAATGATTGGTTGATTGACTGATTTAATACCAGGTTGATTGATTATTCATTGGTAGGTTAAAAGTCAGGTATTTTATTGATTGATTTTATAATTGATTAATTGATTGATAGCTTGATTACCTTCTTCTGAAGAGACCTGTCTAAGATGAACCATGTCTCCCTTGTTTCCTAGAATCAGCATGGGAACATCTTTCTAGAATAAGTTTAGGAATTAGAAGAATTAAACGGAAATTCAGGGTATTTCGCACCCCTGGAATATTTGGCATTTGGCCAAGATTTAGCAAATTTTCCATTTTGGTATAAATTTTAATATAAATGTCGGAAATACCTAGAGGAGATCATTGTAAAAACATTAATAAAGGAATGGCGTTTTGCAACAAACTCAAATTTTCGAATCCATATATCTTTGCAACCTGGCGGGAAAAACCTTTGATATTTCAAACTTAAATAATTCGATCTACCCTTTCTCTGAATCTAAGCTGAGTACAGAACCTGGAGAATTAGGATCAATGCACTCCAGGACCTTATACAGGATACACGTTAGAGCTTATAGCTCCGTTTATCCAACTAAGGCCTGGGGACTTGCACTTCATAGACAGCTCTCAGACTTTTATTTCTTTATCATGACTACCAGAGGACTAAGGAGGACACCAGTCTCCTTCCTCATCCTTCAATATGAATATACATCCTCGGAATCCTCAGCATCACTAAGGATATCAGAGGACGCTCTTTATTCTCCAGCTTGTTCTCAGACAGAACCACTGGAGACTCAGAGCAGCTAGAGGATCCAGGATTTATTCTCCAGCTGGATCTATGAGTTATTAGGTAAGGTGTTTATAGACATGAAGCTCTATAATCTCGAGTTGGTTCTATTGACAGGGACACCCGAGATACAAAATAAGAGTACGGGGAAATATTTGCATAAGCCCTAAACCATGGGTGCAAATGCCTATTATTTACATCTGGCTTGTTTATTAATTAATTATTACAAAAGATATTCGGGTTAGAAAATCAGAGTTTGTATGAGCAAAGACCTAATTCAAAAGCATTTTAAATATTTTTTTCAGATTACATATTATTGATATTATTTACCTCTTTCACCTGTGCTACTCCTCGCACATCCTAATAAAAAATAAAGATTATAAATTTTTAGATAATAAAAAAACTTTTATTATTGATTAAACGTTTTGGTGACCTGTATATGGTTGAAAACCTGTTTGAGATATGTGAACGAGGATCTATAAATAACATATTTTAACATTTAACCAAGTTGTAAACAAAATCTTAATAATAAATATCATGTACGATTTAACTTGTAAAAACTTTTATAACATTAGTTTAAGTTTAAAAAGTTTCTATAATTTCTAATAATTTCTCATAATTTCTTTATAATTTCTTTATAATTTCTTATAATTTCTTAAAATTTCTTATAATTTCTTATAACTTCTTGATAATTTCCTGAAAATTTGTAATAAAAGAGCACTAAATTGCTCATATACTTGAAATACTTTTATATTTAAAATTCAGTTGAAGAATTATATGTTTTATTCCTGTCTGTAATACTATAGACTAGGACCAGTCCATCAGCCCAGCTCACTAGCTCAGCAGCTGGTAGGTCAACTGCAGACTAAATATATAATACTTGTGTCAAAATTATTAATATTAATATTCTTCACATACTATAGATCAGGACTAGACCATCAGCTCACTGGCTCACTAGCTCATTAGCAGGTAGGTCAACTGCAGGCAAAATATATAATACTATATAGACCAGAACTAGACTATCAGCTCACTAGCTCACTAGTAGGTATGTCAACTGCAGACTAAATATATAATATACTTTAGACCAGGAATAGACCATCAGCTCACTAGCTCACTAGCTCACTAGCAGGTAGGTCAACTGCTGACTAAATATAATATACTATAGACCAGAACTAGACTATCAGCTCACTAGCTCACTAGCAGGTATGTCAACTGCAGACTAAATAAATAATACTATAGACCAGGACTAGACCATCAGCTCACTAGATCACTAGCAGGTATGTCATATGCAGACTATTAATGTATAATGTACTTTAGACCAAGATTAGACTATCAGCTCACTAGCTCACTATTAGGTATATATAATGTATTGTACTATAGATCAGAGCTAGACTATCAGCTCACTAGCTCACTATTAGGTATATATAATGTATTGTACTATAGATCAGACTATCGGTTCACTATCTCACTAGTTTATCCTACCTTAGTTGATGTATCACAAATCTCAAATATAACAGGATCACCATCAACTGCAATCTCGTGTTTATATCTAAACAAACATAATAATATTATTGTCAAATATACAGTTACTCTTTTATCCAACAAAAAATGGAGAAAAAAATAGTTGTTAAAAACTGTCACATAGTAAAGAACCATGTTTTTATTTCTTCGTAAAAACAAGAAATTCTGTCTGAAAGTTCTCTTAGTTTCTATTTAAAAGTATATTTTTACCTGGAATCTGATTGATGATCATATTCACCGATATATCTTTTAGTTAGAAACCTCACAGTCAGAGCTAAACATATGTTATAAGATAATGGAAAACAGACAGGGTTACCCACACAGGGTTAGTCTTCAGCGACGACTTTAGATAATTTATGCAGTCACATTTTCTCATTTTCAAGACTTTTTGCAAATTCTGTAAAAGTGACTCTTTCTTTGCCAAATCAGTCGATAAGTCATTAGAAGCTTATAATATTCAAGGAAAACCTTTAACTTAACCTTAGAATCAGTCAATAAGTCATTAGAAGCTTATAATATTCAAGGAAAACCTTTAACTTAACCTTAGAATCAGTCAATAAGTCATTAGAAGCTTATAATATTCAAGGAAAACCTTTAACTTAACCTTAGAATTGTCATAGTTAAGGATATTAATTTATGGTCTCATTCCTTGTGAGTAACCCTGAATAAAGAACCCAAACCAAGAAAACATGATAGTTGTTATGTACAGGGTTTCCCGCAAAGAATGCGACTTTAATGACGATCTTCAGGTTGAATTTTGTCATCATCATTGGAGTGCTATTGGAGACTCCCATGGACTTCTACTTGGAGACCCCCAGATTTTCGTAGAGACTCCCAGATTTTCATTGGAGACCCCATATTTTTTTTTTGAAGACCCCCCTTTTTTCATCGGAGACCCCCAGATTTTGAATGGAGACCCCATATTTTCGTTGGAGACACTCATATTTTCCTTAAAGACCCAAAGATTCTCGTTGGAGACCCCTATGTTTTCATTGGAGACCCCATATTTTCCTTAGAAACCCCATATTAGTACTATGAAAATCTTGGGGTCTTTAATGAAAATATTAGGGTTTCCAACAAGAATCTGAGGGTCTCAAACTAAATAATGGGGGTGTCCAACGAAAATATGGGAGTCTCCAACGAAAATATGAGGTCTCCAATAAAATCTGGGGGTCTCCAATGAAAATATTGGGGTCTATACTGAAAATCTGGGGTTTCCAACAAAAATATGAGGTCTCCAATGAAAATCCGGAGGGCTCCAATGAAAAAATGGGGTCTCCAATGAGAATCTGGGGGTTTCCAACGAAAATATGGTGGTCTCGAACGGAAATATGGGGTCTCCTATAAAAATCTGGGGGTCTCTACCGAGAATCTGGGGGGCTCCAACGAGACGTCTCTGAGGGTCTCCAATGAAAGAGCTAGTTTTCAATAGTACTCCAAATGATGATGATTTCTCCCCAGTTTTCAGGGTATACTTGATAATTTAGCAGATAACAAAAGTAAAATTTAAGTCTATGGAAACCCAGGGTGAATAAAAAAAGGCTAAATAGATTACGTACAGTCGTCTCTGAATTTTAAAAATAATTACATCGATGATAAATAAGAAAAATCTAAACTTCCAGTTATTCAAATAACTGATATAATAATAATAACGATGATGATGATGATGATAATGATAACAATAATAATAATAATAATAAAGGTAATGATTATAAAAACAATACCACTTTTCCCTACTCCCGGAGCTCCCAGAATTACAAGTTTAACTTCAGATAAAGACGACTTTTTTCTTCGGACCTGTCTGATCCCTCGCATTCCACTGTTAGAATTCATCTTACAGCTGTTTACACTTTCTTACAAGATGCTTCCTCAATATTTAGCTGATTTTTTATAAAGATATCGTCTTCTGTGTCAACTGTCACTGATTTCACTGATTTCATCACTGATAAACTATTAAACAGCCGAGGAAAACTAAATGATGAGTGATGATGAACTTATCAAACTGTACTATCCATCACTATAACCTGAGTCCCAATCAGATTCTTTAAACGAACCTAACTTCTTCCCGATCCTACTGATAGACCCGGGGGTCTGTAATCTGAAAATAAACTTTCTGAATGTCGTCCTGCAAAGTTCAAAAGTGGTAATTCGATATTAAAATCAGAAACATCTGAGTCTACATCATGTTTAATAAAAAACCATCTATATCTGCATTAAAATGCATATATCATTCTTTGCTCTGATTTAGAAATCCGACTTTAGAGATATGACGTGGGTGCCGGGTGGTTACCCTGGAGTGATTAGATTTAGAAAAAACGAAACAGAGTTATTCAAGATAAATTCGAATTATAATTATAAAAAAATAAAAATTAACCTGTAATTGTCGTCTTCTTGTTCTCTGATATATGTATCCACCGTCTCCTGCCAGTTTTGAAGACGAGGGGTGAAAATATCAGATTTTGCCAGACGTAGCTGATAAAACCGTATCCTGAACATATAAACTTGATAAAACCGTTTCCTGAACCATATAAACTTGATAACACCGTATCATGAACGATAAAACCGTATCCTGAACATATAAACTTGATAAAACCGTATCCTGAACACATACACTTGATAAAACCGTATCCTGAACATATAAACTTGATAAAACCGTATCCTGAACACATACACTTGATAAAACCGTATCCAGAAAATATGAACTTGATAAAACCGTATCCTCAACATGTATAATCTTGATAAAACTGTATCATATCTGAGTCCAGATCACGGTTGTATAATACACTCCAATGGAAGGAAAATTGTGTCTCCTAACGCAAGGATATGATATATAAAAAGTCACTGATTATCCATCTTAGGCGGCGACATTTTCCGTACATTAGAGCGCATAGAGAGTACCAACCTTCTAACCTTATTATACAGCCTTGATACCAACCTTATAACCTTATTATACAGCCTTGATACCAACCTTATAACCTTATTATACAGCCTTGATACCAACCTTATAACCTTATTATACAGCCTTGATACCAACCTTATAACCTTATTATACAGCCTTGATCCAGATCTAAATATTATCAAGATCTAGAGATCTGAACTTTTCTGTGGATATTGTTACAGAGTATAGGTGGCAAAACAGGACAAAACAACAAATAAATCATCTCCTTCTAGTGTAATTAATGTATACAGTTTAATATCTTGCTTATGACGTAAATAAAAAGGTTTTCTAGTTTTAGTTCTAGTTTTGTTTAATCTAACCCAGAACCTTAGTAGTTTTTACACATTTCTACTCAGTCTAGTGCATTATTTACATTCACGTTGATACACCTTTTGTAATCTAGGCGATTATGTAAATTTATAAAAACGACTTTTTCATTCGAGTGTTGATTGTTAACAAGATTTTTTCGAATTACAAGTTTTACAAGTTTTACAAGTAATGCTTTTTTAGATGACAGCTTCTCTTGGCTTCTATGTATGAATATCAATGCTGTTTAACATCTTGATATAAATCAAAATTAAAACTGAAAGTTGTGTTCATTATATTGATATTATCGCCTAACACTGCATGTAAAATATGTCCATTATTACCTAATTGGTGTTATTCTATCTGGAGGGACAAGGGTGGGCAAGGTTTGCAGAACCTAAAGAAAAACGATTAAATCGTCCACATTATTGTTAAGATAAAAGTTTAAGTGGGGTACCCTTGGGAATTGGGCATGCCTTTTTTTATGGAGGGTTACTTGAAATTACGCTTAAAGTCCGTTATAAGTTACATTTTATACCTGAACTTGCGATTCAGTATGGGCTTGAAGAATATGCATAATGCACCATAATAAACAGTCTTCACACCATCTTAGTCTTAAAATGAGTTTACTTGGTAATATTAGGATAATATAAGGAACATAATTTGAATCCAAATGATGATGAAAATACGAGAGAGATATATCTAGCTGAATCACTTTGTATGAGAACAGTGAAATTCTTGTAGAAAGCTTGCTTGAACAGAACTCGGATTGAGCCAGGGGGAAATATGCTTTAGCTGTACAGGCAGTACGGTCTGGCAGACCCAGTTTAGTTTAATTATTCGATATACTAAATTGTGTGAGCATATTGTATAAAATAATTCAAAACAATTAAAATACAGATATTACTTGGTGCTAAAATGTAAACGTTTTAATATGAAAAAAAACTTTTCAACGACAATAAAAGTATTTTTATATAATTTTTTAATCCCCCCCCCCCCGGTATTTTGACTGAGATCCTGTATTTGCGTTGAATTGGGACGAGAAATATTCTTCCTTCAATGTCATTTTGTATTTCGCCTTTCCTTAGTATTACATCAACATAAATAGACACACACACACACTACATACATATACACACTCACACAATCATATTCTGTATTTATTAAGCAAAATATCAATCGTTGTAAATCATTTTATATTCACAGAGGAGGGAAGGGGATGAATGCAAGCCACATAAATCCTTTATCCACATTCTGGAGCGTTTATTTTCATGTGTAAGCCACAATAAAAGTTACCATGATGACCACGAGCACTCCGCGCTGTAGCAAAATCTACTCATCTGAGGCAAACTTTTCATCTTTTACATCTCTCTCTTTCACTGCAACTACGACTTTGTGACCTTGAAGCACCTCTATTTTTGATATTACGCACAAGTATGAAAAAATTAATCATTTGGTTACATGCTAAAATTTCAAAACATTTTTGTTCTTCTCTCTAGCTCATACAATACACCATAGTTTCCTGTTTCAGTAGAAGTAAATATTTTTATATTTACTGATAGCGCCGATTGAAGGATTTATAACTCTGATTGGATAATGAGATAGATAGAAAGATAGATGTTCCCGCCATGCAATTTTTATTGGTTCAGAATAGACACCAAACACATGACTGAACCCTGATTGGATCAGGTGCTAATGGACTCCGCATACAGGAGTGAATAAAAGGAGTTATATATAAAAACCTAAAATATTTCAAACTTACGTACAATTACCCTTTCTCCGACGCTAGTTTAACGTGATATAGAGTAGAGGCAACTTGTAAAATTAATCCCTATTTTACCTGCTAAGGGACGACCAGTTTATTGACCCGATAGGCATTTCATTGTCAAAGCAGACAGCAGGCTGATTTCTTATCCTGGCCAGAATTTAAGCCAAACCATATCCCGCCTTAAAGGGACTGTAAGGGTAATTTCAAGTGAACTTTTATTAAAAGAGGGACATGTCCAATTCATATGGATACCCTTTAAACCTTGAAAGGGGCCGTTAATCGAGAGTAAACAAGATTATAGCCTAATAGCTATTGGTATTATTCTTACATTAATCTTTCAGAATTCCAGTGCAAAGGTATAACACCTTTGCTGAGACACTATTTGACGCTTTTTGTCATAGTCATGGATTGAAAAAAAAATTTAAATATTATAAAAATTGTAGTATCTAATCGTTAATTGTAGATATCTTTAATTTTCTTCAAAATTATCTTAAAATTGTCTATTTTCAAAATATAACTTATTTTCAACATTTGATGGTTTGATACGTTTTCCCTGCTTCCCCAGAGCCCAACATTTAAAAGAGTATTGTTGAACGAAACTCCAGAGTTTCATTTTTGGGGTCTTAACATTTGTGTAGATTTGATTTACGAGATTCTATAAAAATGGAGAATATGAAGAAACCAAGTAAAATAATATATCATAACAAAAATATTAATATCCACCAAAACTGCCTAACCCCATTCGGGAAACCCGGGTTCCAAAACTGGTTTTCATAGCGATACCATGTCTTAAGTTTTGGGCTTAGGAATCCCCGTGATTTATTGAAGAGTTGGAATCTAGGAAAGTTGTCTTTGTTTAAACGTGTTAATTTGTTAAAGCATGTTTGAACACAGAAAGATTTATTGGGCTGATGTTACTGAAAAAACGTTTAAATAGTGTCTATTCAATGCTATCATACCTTTCCGCTGGAATTCTAAGCAATAAATCGGCTTTTTCTCCGGCCATAGAAATCTTTGAAAATTAAGACTTATACCAATGAATAGCTAATAGGCAAAATAGTTTACCGTGAAATTACCAAAATAAGTGAACGGTCCCTTTAACTGTTTAAGGAGAGACTTTACCTTATTTATCGTATACAGGATATACAGAAAAATTTGCTATTATTGAACACTTGGTTTGCAAGCTGTTTTCTCATTTAGGAATAATAATATTGACTTACTAGAAGTCACATGGCAGGATATAAAAATTTACATTTAAATTTTTTAAAACTGCGGTGGACATGATGTACTTGATTTTCCAGGAATAAATGTAACGTGAGCTGAGTACTCAAGACACTCCAGATATAGGGCTTTTTACAAAACATTTCATAGATTTTCGATTATCGGTCAAAGATTTTAGGGTGCCGAGCGTTGTGAGTCCGGGATTTCCCTCTTAAAAGGGAGTGTTCGCGAAAAATAAGAGGGGTTATAGGTTTACGGCGAAAAAATAATCTATTTTGATCGCTACCAAACTTACTTCTATCTGTTGCGTCTAAAAGAAGAAAATTGTTAAAAACGACTTATGCTGGAGAACGTATAGCGTCCATACAAATTTTTAAAATTGCCATATTCGACTCAGATCGTAAATTTTAACTATATAAGAATGCGTCGAAAAATAATCGATGGCTTTAGGTTAACATCTGAATGATTTGTTTAAAAATAAAATTGATTTTTTTTACAATCTGAGTTGAATATTGCAACTTTCTGAATTTGTATGGACGCTACGTTCTTCAGTGTAAGTCGTTTTTAACAATTTTCTCCTTATAGACGCAACAGATAGCAGTAGGATTAGTAGCGGTCAAAAGCGAATATTTTTTGCCGTAAGCCTATACCCCCTTTCATTTTCCGCGAACACAACCTTTAAATAAGAGAAGGAGGAGTGATAATTGATAACATATAAGATGTAAATCTTACGTCCAATTTACTTTAGTTTCGCGTGTCCTGCATTAAATTTGGTAGATAAATAACATATATCTATTTACTTTAGTTTGGCGTGTGCATTAAATTTGGTAGATAAATAACATATTTCTATTTACGTTAGTTTGGCGTGTCCTGCATTAAATTTGGTAGATAAATAACATGCATCTATTTACTTTAGTTTGGCGTGTCCTGCATTAAATTTGGTAGATAAATAACATATTTCTATTTACGTTAGTTTGGCGTGTCCTGCATTAAATTTGGTAGATAAATAACATGCATCTATTTACTTTAGTTTGGCGTGTCCTGCATTAAATTTGGTAGATAAATAACATACATCTATTTAATTTAGTTTGGCGTGTCCTGCATTAAATTTGGTAGATAAATAACATATTTCTATTTACGTTAGTTTGGCGTGTCCTGCATTAAATTTGGTAGATAAATAACATATGTATATTTAATTTAGTTTGGCTTGTTCTGTATTAAATTTGGTAGATAAATAACATACATCTATTTATAAGTAATCTTATTCAATAATGCCAACAATTGTAATTAAAACCCTTGTTAAATCATTGCTTGTGTTTTTTTTAGGAATAAAATAAATGTTGGAATCGTGCATGGATTTGTTTCTTCTCTTGCTAAATTTATTAGCAAGGGTAAAATACTCCTCCTGCAGCGCAACCAGGTAAATTAATAGATATTTGGATCATTTTCATACCAGCATAAATAAATAAAACATTAAATAGTTTAGATTTTATTTTCCTTGTTTTGGTTAAACAAATTATTATTTGTAGCATTACACAATTGCTTCTTTTTCTTCATCTATGCCTGCCATATTTTGCCTGATAAATATGAATAACTTTGTATATTTATTTAATTGTATTTTTATTTTGTTTTTCATAAATAACAAATACGTTTACCAAGGTTTTGATTATTTACCTAGTTTGAGGTAAATGTATAGTCAACATATAAAAATGGCGATAGCTTATGACATATCTGAATTTACCGACTGGTTATGCTGAACTTTCTCCTTTGTCTCAATTCTATATCTTTCTCATTCTGAATAAACAATACACATGTACAGTGTACAGTGTGTTACTGAACACTGTACAATGTACAATGTACAAATGTCTCACTTTACACTGTAAAGTTTGTTAAAAAGTCAAATTTTCTAATCCCTAAACATGTTTATTGCAACCTGTAAACCTTTAATATTTTAAACTTAGATTTTTTTATCTAACAGAATTCATAGTCTGAAATATATAAAGTCTATGACGTTGGGTTGCAAAGACATAGAAATTAAAAATAAGACTGGGGTTGTCTGTTTGTCTGTTTGTTTGTTTGTGTCAGAGCGACAAATGTTTTTGGTAATTAACTCAAATGGCTTCTGTGGAAGTTTCTGGTTGACAATTTTTTTTTAAATCGTCAAAATTAAATTTTGATATTCCTAAATTTTGGAAATCCAAAATGAAAGATAACAGATCAAAGATAACAGATAAAATAACACATAAAAGGTAACAGATAAAAAATAACAGATAACAGATAACAGATGACAAATACAAGATAACGATAATAGTTGTAAAATCTGATAGATAACAGATAACATATAAGACCAAATAAAACCTGCACATCAAGCTGTCCTGTGTATAATGAAGGACTGATGGAAACCTGAGTTCTGAAACAAAATATATTTATTATTTAACCTTCAGTTATCTCTACTTATTAACCTGAGTTCTGAAACAAAATATATTTATTATTTATTTTAAATGACACAGAAGATTGTAAAAAAATATATTATTTAAAAAAAAGGAAATGTAAATTTTTATTTAATAGAAAAAAATGTCAAATTTTGACCAAGAAATTGTGAGCTACTATATTATCAAAATTTGAAAAAACAAAAAACTCTCTATACGAAAATAATGTCAGAAATGTATCACATAATATTCAGAGCATGCACAAAAAATACAGTAGGTATAAAAAGCCTTTTTTTTCAAAAAAAAGGTAGCCTTTTTTTTTCAAAAAAAAGGTTAGGCCATTTTTTTTCTTAAATGTTGCAAAAAAGCTCTGAAACCGAAAAGTGTTTTAAAATAGTTAAGCA